GTAAAGCTGTACGTTTCAACACATCAAAACGATGACACTTACCGGTTTTTTAAACTATTCAATCTGTGATCTTAACGATCAATATTATCAAGAAAACTACAAATGCTGCTAAAGAACTACAATCATTTCATCAGACAGGTGTGTAGTAGAGTCCATTAATCATTGCAGATAAACTCCTGGCGAACTTGTTGATGTAATTTCGAAAGCTCACAGGACTTCACCTGCAGTTCTCAAGAACTGAATATGAAGAGGAATCCTCTAATGGGTATCAAACTGTAGGGATGCACAGGACACCTGTATCGACTGCTTTGGGTGATATGTATGTTGATAGACATCTGCTCCTCAACTAACCTGTATTCCTCATGATTAGTTTAAACTGTCAGATGTAGATGTAGACCTGTTCTTACCGCTCTGCAGCTTATTAAGCCGACCAGTTGTGCTGTGCGATGCGTCTCTGGTGTGCAAAGGCTGCAGACAGTAACTCAGTGGATGTGTATGTCCTCAGCTGTGAGGTGCTGAGTGCTTTAAGGGACCGCTGAGACAAACTGCTTCTGTAACGCATTATTACAATACCTGTAAGTGTTCGACATGTGAAGATGATAACCATGAATTCATCGACAAACCTGAAGCGTGCAGCAGAGTCCCTCATACTCTGACCTGCAGCTGACTGAACGGACAAACGTGAATTATTCTGGAGATGTTCCAGACACATGAACTTCTCGACTCGTTTTGGCTTTAACCTACAGCGATCAGCTGATTTAGGAAATAACCTGACTCTATTAAAGTGACCATATGTTGATTAATGAAGGTGTCAGGTTGGGGTTAAACGCACACGGTTAGTTTGAGAGGGATCTGTTGTCAGTATGAAGACCACTCACACTTGATCTGTGATTTAATGCTCATGTTTCTCTTACAGCTATCGTTACTGCAAGAATAAGCCCTACCCCAAGTCCCGCTTCTGCAGGGGAGTGCCTGGTAAGCTTTCACTTCAAATCCACTCAATCCTGCTCGAAGCAGCTACTCGACTAGAAGCAGGCTGTAACAGATGCGTCTTTAAGTGATGTGTCCCAGCGATGATCCTGCAGCTTATTAAGCCGACCAGTTGTGCTGTGCGATGCGTCTCTGGTGTGCAAAGGCTGCAGACAGTGAGTCAGGGTTGTGTATGTCCTCAGCTGCGAGGTGCTGAGTGCTTTAAGGGACCGCTGAGACAAAAACAAGTTTCATCAGTTCAGGGAGAAATGACACTTCCTCCCCCTTTGGTTAATGTAATGTAGAGATTTACTTCCTGACATGTGACTGTTATTAATGTTTTCTTTTTCCCTGAGTGAGGAGTAATGGATCTTTTTCTCTCCATGTTTATAGATCCTAAGATCAGGATTTTCGACTTGGGCAGGAAGAAGGCCAAGGTAGATGAGTTCCCTATGTGTGGCCACATGGTCTCTGATGAGTACGAGCAGCTGTCTTCAGAAGGTGAGCAGTCAGTGAGGCTACATGTGACCTGCAGAGATATCATCATAATGCTCGCTGAGGCTCTGACCTCTCTGATCTGTCCTCTGTGCAGCTCTGGAGGCCGCCCGTATCTGTGCTAACAAGTACATGGTGAAGACCTGCGGTAAGGACGGTTTCCACATCCGCATGCGGCTGCATCCTTTCCACGTCATCCGCATCAACAAAATGTTATCGTGCGCTGGAGCTGATAGGTGAGAATCTGCCAGCTGCGCTGTGATTGGTCGCTTCTGGCTCTGATGGAAACGTTCAAAGTGACGCGTTGGCGACTAGTAAACATTTAAGATTAACTGTTTATGATCTCGTCTGTTTTAAGGGAGGGGGTTCAAGTTGTATCTAAGTGTTTTAGAAACCTTCTTATGAGGTCATCTAACATTTAGATGAGCTGCTGAGAGTGAGCAGCAAACGCACGTTTCTGAAGTCCTTTTGGAGTTCCATAAAGATGCATGTTATCAGAATCAGGTTTTATTGCCAAGTACATTTACACATGCAAGGAATTTGACTTGGTGTATTGGTGCTAAACAATTAACAAGGAAATAAAGCAGAACTAGCAACAACTTAAATAATACATTAAAGATATTACAATATATAATATAAAAAACACAATGTACAAAAGGTGTAATGTAGGATTTGTCTCTTACAGCTCTCTGAAGGTTTCTTTAAATGTTGCCAACGTACCTTCATTGTTTGACCATTAAAAACAATAGGTTGCCTGACATTTCTCATCCTGGTGTGTTTACTCATACTCTCTTCTCGTGGTCCTCAGGCTCCAGACCGGGATGCGAGGTGCTTTTGGTAAACCTCAGGGCACCGTGGCTCGCGTGCACATCGGTCAGGTGATCATGTCCGTGCGTACCAAGGCCCAGAACAAGGAGCATGTGATCGAGGCTCTGCGCAGAGCCAAGTTCAAGTTCCCCGGACGCCAGAAGGTAAGCGAGCACCTGACCCTGCACTGAGAGTCAGGGATGATGTGATGTGATGATGTGAGGCTCAGGAGGAGACCTGTCTGTACCGCTGGCCGGGCTCAACTCTGCAGCTTATTAAGCCGACCAGTTCTGCTGTGCGATGCGTCTCTGGTGTGCAAAGGCTGCAGACAGTAACTCAGTGGATGTGTATGTCCTCAGCTGTGAGGTGCTGAGTGCTTTAAGGGACCGCTGATACAAACTGCTTCAGAGATGGTGCATGTCGTGATCATCCTGTGATGACTCCTCTGGTAACTCCGGGTTGATTCCGTTTCTCTTCCTCAGATCCACATCTCCAAGAAATACGGCTTCACCAAGTTCAACGCCACCGACTTTGACGACATGATGGCGAGAAGCGTCTGATCTCTGACGGCTGCGGGGTGAAGTACATCCCCAGCAGAGGCCCTCTGACCCGCTGGAAGGCTCTGCACGCCAACTAAGAGTAGCTGTAGGTGTTACAGTGACAACCAATAAAAGTGGGTTTGATTACAAAAAGTGATCGTGGTGTGTCGGCTCTGATTTATTTCACGGGTTGCATTTTAGCGCTGAATCCTCGTGTTTGACCTTCATAGGGTTAACACTCTGCAGTCATGATGTCAACATGCTAGAGTTAGAACAGGAGACTCCGCTTACTAATGTCATCACTGAAGTTGAGGTGCATCATTACTGAAGGAAGTTACAGATGAGAACGGCACACAAATCTCGACAACAGGCTGAGGAAGATGCAGAAACATCATTAATCCACACGAGAGGTCAGAAATAAAGCTGAATTAAAAACCACAAGTTTATCAGTCATGGATGATATTAGTGCAGCTGACGAGACTTTCATAGAGCAGATATAGACGCAGATGGATACCTGGCCAGATGATATCAACCAACCAGCTGGATTTACTGATTACAGACCTGAGTGAACAAACATGTCTCCATTTGGTTAATCTTCAAATGATCCCACTGGATTGTCAGCTCAGTGGAGTTTGTGTGCAGGTTTTCAACAGAAGTTTATTTTTTTCATTAAGTCTTTATTGACACACGGTTCACGAACAAAACACATGAAAAAGGTCTAGCGATGTCAGGGGACCCGAAGACAGCCACTAAAAATCACTACGAACATTGAAGTAACGAGCATACGTGTACTTCTTTAACGTGGACACTGGAGGGTGCTGTGAGGCTGTCACGTCAGGTGATCGGTCAGCTGATACAGGTCGAAGGTGAAGAGGGAAGGCGAAGCAGCAGTAATGGTTAATAATAATAATCTAGATTTATATTCTCATCACAAACAGGAACAACATCCAAAGATATCCTCAGTTCTTCAATCCACCTGCAGGTGACTGAAGTTTGAGCAGCTGTTAGGTACAGCAGAGTCAGAGTTAATATGAGCTCAGTGAACTTTAAGACAGGAGCAGGTCATGGTCTGTTTTTATCTGAGAGGAACAAAATGAGGACAGTGGAAATAAAAACGGATTAAATACAAACTCAAACAATCATAACATCCTCTACAGCCTGCTGGCTCTTTTATCGCCCTCTGTTGGGGGAAGTGGGAACAGCTGTGTGGGACTTCATGATGTCTGATGCAGCATGAATATGATCGTCAGGAGAAAAACACGCTGCAGATTCATTGATCTGTAAAGAGAAGCCAACAGAAGGAGCTCATTCCTACTCGTGTGTAGAAGAAGACTAAACAAGGTGTAGGGTCTGCACATCCAAAGAAAAACGTTCACAGGCTCTGGATCGAAAATCAAACTAAAGTTAAGAATTAAAAAAAGGAACATTTCCATATCACAGATCTTCTTCAGGTCATCACGACGTAGGACGAGCAACATTCATGACACCGCTGAATGTGATCTACATGATGACGAGTTGGACCAATCAGAGGGCAGAGCTGGACAACAACTGTCTGATAGTCCCGTATGGGGGACAAAACGTGCCCCTATAAAAAGGATGGAGGGTCCCCCTTTCTTTAAGGTCACATATTATATAAAATCCTCTTCTCCATGTTTCTCTAACACTAATATGTGTCTCTAGTATGTCTACAAACCCCCCAATGATGAGAAAAGTCCATCCTCTCTGTCTTTTGCCTGCTCCACTTTTCAGAAAATGTGTGCTCAAACAGGCCGTTTGGAGATTTTCCCTTCATGACATCACAAAGGGCAGTAACCCCTCCCCCAGGTGGGTGACACTCCCACAGCTAGGTGTTTGTTCTGCCCTCTGAGTCTGCCTTCTCACCATAAACAATAGGGCATGGAGCGAGAAAGCCAGAGACACCCCGAGCCCTTCCAGAGAGGGGGCGTGGTCAGACACAGCTCATTTACATATTTAAAGGTACAGACACAGAAACAGCCTGTTCTGAGCAGGGCTGAAATAGAGGGGTTTATAGGCATGATCAAATACAGGATCAGAGTGGATTTAGAACAAGAAAATTCACACACATGTTTTGAGGAGCTCTGAGACTTATTTAAACTGAAGAAGAGGAGGAGGATATGTGACCTTTGAACTCAAACCTCATGAACGTGAGGAAGAGGACCGAGGCTTGAAAACTGATTTGAATTTCCAGCGCTCAGGACATGAGGTCATCACATAAACCTGATTCAGTTCCTCCTGTAACAAAGAGAAGAACAACATGAGGTTCTATTTAGAGACTCTGCTCTTTAACTCCTCCTCTCTTTTTATTCTACGCCCACATTTAAAAAAAAACACTGCACCCAATAGGGAGGAGCCTTAACTTTATCCAAACATTCACACTGAAACTTGAAACATGAACAGGTCTCTGTGTGACACCCAGGGGGAGGAGCCTGTACGGGTTATAACGTTTAAGACACACAGTGAGTAAAGAACAAACACATTCAGGAAGCTACAGGCTGGTGAGTTTCTTCATTCTTTAACAGACTGAGACTGTGTGTGTGTGTGTGTGTGTGTGTGTCTGTGTGTGTGTGTGTGTGTGTGTGAGTGTGTGTCTGTGTGTTTGTGTGTGGGTCAGTTTAGTCAGCAGGTTTATTGAGTAAAGAAGTCCATCAGTGTGTTTGTTTAAGTGTTGGTATCAGACATGTAACCAGCTGCTGTGACCCCCCTCCCCCCCACCCTGAATAACCTGTTAACATGCTGAACCTGTGTGTGTGTGTGTGTGTGTGTGTGTGTGTGTGTGTGTGTGTGTGTGTGTGTGGTGTGAGAACTCTCTCACTTCCTAACTTTAAAGGTCACCATGTTTAGGAGACATAACAGCTGTTTTGTTTCTGAAACTTTGAGGAACACTTTCAGTTCTTTCACTCTGAATCCTCCTGAAGTTTATCAGTCTGAGCGTCATGTGTGAACACAAACAGCTGAATGTTTCTCCTCCAGCTTCCTCATATTTATCCTGCAGGAAGACAGAAGCAGTTATCAGGAGGTCTGCTCCTGATATTCTCCTGATCTGTTTACATATGCACCTCACAGCAGGAGACTATCCCTGTTTGACAGGATGGGGGGGGGGGGGGTCATCCTGAATGTATTATCTGTGAGCAACACTCTTCTGTATCCTAGGAAGTCATTAAACTCACATGAGTGAAACAGGAAGTTCAGGAAGAGTGCTGAGTCAGACAGAGAGCGGCGTGATACGAGAGCTGCGTCTGCTGTTCATGTTTAACCCTTAAAAACACAAAAACATGGACCTGTGTGTGTGATGTCATCATCTCACAGACTCCCGGTGAGCAGCCATCAGCTGATCACCAAAACAAAGCACAGGAGCACAAAGACGCAGAATGTGCTTAACTTAAAAACACAAAAACATGGGGTCATCTCTCAGCCAGAAGGTCTGGGGTTCAATCCCCAGCTCCTGCAGCCACATGTCGGATGTGTCCTTGGGCAAGACACTTAACCCCAAGTTGCTCCCACTGCTTCATCATCAGAGTGTGAATGTGTATGAATGGATGAGTTAATACTGATAGATTCTGTTTTTGTCTCTCCAGGTCGAGCTACTTTCTCTCGCTCTCTCTCTCAGCTGAGCACCATGAGCTCCTCCTCCCTCCTCCTCCTCCTCTCCTTCCTCCTGGGACTGTGTGGCGTTCAAGGAGACTCCGATTTTAGAATCTGTGCGTTCAACCTTCAACACTTTGGAGAATCAAAGTCCAAGAAAAGCAGCGTCATGCACACTCTCACCAGGGTGAGGCGCTCTGATATTTCATGAAACACGACTTAACACACAACAGAACCCTAAACCGGAAACATAATAACACGCAGGCATACACACAACAGACAACATCTGTAACATCTGCAGGACAAACGGCACACCTCAGTTTGACACAGACAGGAAGTGAAACATGTGACCTCATCCTGAATCTGTTCGTGCTTCAGATCATCTCCCGCTGTGATGTCACTCTGCTTCAGGAAGTCAGAGACGTTAAAGAGAAGGCTTTACCACAGCTGATGAACCGGCTCAACAGGTGAGACACACACACACACACACACACACACACACACACACACACACACACACACACACACACACACACACCTGTCCTTCAGCTCCTCACAGCTGTTTTCTGTCTCGTCTTCAGGTATGACCCTGACCACAAGTATCAAGCGGTGTCCAGTGAGAGACTCGGCAAGGCGGGCTCTTCATACCAGGAGCAGTACGTGTTCGTCTACAGGTGAGCTCTGCTCTGTGTGTCTGATCTGCACAGCTGTGTCCAGGTGTAATGTGTGTGTGTGTGTGTGTGTGCAGGGCTGGCTCGGTGACGCTCACAGGTCAGTATCAGTACCCTGACGATCGGCCCGGAGACGTCGACGCGTTCTCCAGAGAACCTTTTGTCGTTCGGTTCAAAGCTCCAAGAACAGGTCAGACTCTCCCCCGAGGTCACAGCTGCTCTCATCCAATCAGGATCAAGTTTAATAACCTCTTCATGTTTCTCATCAGTCATCAAGGAGTTTGTGCTCATACCTCAGCACACGTCTCCAGAAAACACCACCAAGGAGCTGGACGCCCTGTACGACGTCCTGCAGGAGGTCAGGAGGATGTGGAAGACCGAGGTACACCAACATCACCTCACACGCCCAAAAATAGATTTACACACCTCTGACACATCAGTGTAACCATCTGTGTGTGTGTGTGTGTGTGTGTGTGTGTGTGTGTGTGTGTGTGTGTGTGTGTGTGTGTGTGGGCAGCATGTGATGCTTCTCGGGGACTTTAACGCTGACTGTGGTTACCTGGCTAAGAAGAACAGGAAGTTTGTGCGTCTGATCACAGATAAAAACCTCTTCTGGCTCATTAATGATAAAACTGACACCACAGTGAGAAAGTCCACGTCCTGCACCTACGACAGGTGAGCTGTCCACCATGTTTGTTCATGAGGTGTGATCTCAGTGACTGCAGGTAAAGGATCAGTGTAACAGGCTGCCCTATCAGAGGGAGTGACAGTAAGTTAGAGGTCCCTCTGAACCTGCAGAGCTGCTGACCCCTGACCCTGAAAGAGATGACATCAACGCTGGAGACTCTCGGAGAGAAAAGTACGATGTGTAAACTTAGTTTTTTGTACTTTGTGTGTGCAGGATCGTCGTGCACGGGGAAACGTTTGCCAGAGCGATTATTCCTTTGTCAGCGAAACCGTTTAACTTCCAGACAGAGTACGGCCTCAGCGACGACCAGGTAACAGAGTCTGGACCTGACAGGTCAGGTCTATGAAGCTGAGTGGAGCTGACTGTGTGTTTGTCTCTGCAGGCTCTGGAGGTCAGTGATCACTACCCCGTGGAGGTCCTGCTGAAGAACAACAAAATGTCCAACAGTGGCGGCATGAGGGAGAGCGTGCATCCGTTTGTGTCTGTGTTCCTGCTTGGCCATCTTGTCTTCAGCGTGTTAACACATTAAGTGTTACTCTCACCTGGATTCTTTTTCTCCTCACTCTGAGGACCGTCATGGACTTAAAGACTCACCGACATGTGGAGTCAAAGAAATCCCAGCAGCAGACTCTCCACAAGGGGGCGCTCCTTCAGTCAGGACATAAACAGGAGATATTCATGATGACATAATGATTTCATTTCTCTGAGTTAAGAGAGAGGACGACGTTCACATGAGCTCCGTCATGTTTCATATAAAGAAACCTGTTTTTACTTGAACTGTCAGACAGCTGATGTCATCACAGTGAGACCCGCTCACCAACGTTCACTCGTTCACACGTTCACCCCCCACCCCCCCTTTCCCTTTTTGGTAAAGAATCCACTGAGTCTTTTATAAGTCGGGTCAGCTGGCAGTTTGCTCCTCAGAATCAGATCAAACGCTCTCTCTTCACTTCCTGCTGAAGCACCAATCACCTGCCGGCTCGCCTGATGATGCAGTGGCATCATTCATCATGTCTCTGACTCCAGACCTCTCTGATTGGTCCTCTAGAAGATGCTCAGACACAGAGAGGACGTGGAGATACGCACACTGTAAATACTCTGATATTTATAAATATAATAAATCTGTCACTCACTCAGAGCGTGTCAGCTGTCTTTCTTTCTCCTGAGGTAAGACATGATGTAAGAAGCATCAGAGTCCTCCATAGGACTCTATGATGAGAATATGTGTCTTTGTATCAATGCTACGTGTAGTTGAAGAGAATCTCAGTGTGAACTAAAGAGTGGAGAAGAACATACTGGAGAACAGGAAACATGCAGCAGCAGGTTCATTAGAGCACAGAGATGGTAGAGGTGGCGTGCAGACAGTCTATTCTCCTGATTATATCCTGCTGCGTTCTCTCATCAGCTCACTCTGACTTTCTGCAGAATAAATACGAGGAGGCTGGAGGAGAAACTCCTGGTGAAGAGATAAACATTCAGATGTTTCAGGAAGTTTCTGCAGTTGTGAAAGAACTTTAGTTCTGTTACTGTTTGGAGTGTTTCACCTCCTGTTAATGATTTGAGCCCCGCCCATGGTTACTCATCTCTCTGATCGGCTCTCCTGTTCCAACATGTTTCTCTCTCTCCTGTCTGTCTGCTCATAAATACCTCCCTCCTCATCAGCTGCACCATCATCTTTAAAAGTAAACAAACCTGAAACTTGATTTCACCACGGTTCTGAGACTGAACCCTCAGTGTGAAGACAGGGTAACGATTAATCTGATGTTTGGATCGTCCCCACAACCACTTCCGTCCTCCTTCCTGCACTTCCTGCTCCGACCTCCACCTCAGCAGAGAGGTAGTGTGGACAACAGGAAGAGAGGAATACAAAGAAGAAATCCTTCCTGCATATTATCCATGTGCTCTTTAGTAAAGCGTCTCCAGATCACACTTACACAAACAATGATTGACCACTGAGCCACAGCCGCCCTGTTAATTGTTAAGTCAGAGAAGTGCCTCTCCCATAACGTCGTCTGGATTGTCATGAAAACAGTTTCCTCTGGCGCCCCCTTCAGGACACACCTGTAAGTGCTCTTTGTTGGATGTCTTCTCTGCATCATATTCAAAATAAAAACAGGAAACAAGTTTCTGAAGAACTGCTTTATTTGGTAAATCTTCAACATCAGACGATATTCAAACAGACTGAGAGGCCGTCTACTCGCTCACCTGCAGGTAAACATCCAGGTGTCACAGCTAGAGGTGAGACCCAACAGGGGGCACAAAGGGGGGGCGGGGCTAAACGCTGCGTTCAGGGTCAGGTCAAAGCATCAGGTAAAGCGGCGGTGTACACAGGCACAGAACACAGAGAACATCTCTAATGTTGAATATTGATAATAATACGTTTGAGGTAATGCAGACAGACACGATGATGACCTCAACACACGGAATCCTTTAAATATGTTTCTCTACACGCTGACCGCCACCGAGTACTGACGAAGACGAGGCTGATGGGAAATCAAACATCAGATGTGGAGAAAATAAAAAAATCTATTAAAGATGTTCGAGGGACGAAGAGCTACAGCATTGTCTTCACGCCGTCCACTGATGTCGCTCGTCTTTGTACTGACGCACACGATCCACAGTGTGTGTTCAGGTTAATGTGTGTGTGTGTGTGTGGATGTCAGACAGAGTAAGGTGCAGCTATCACATATGCTTCCTGTGAGCAGACGCTGTATGATGTGTCAGTGTGTGTGTGTGTATCAGTGTGTGTGTGTGTATCAGTGTATGTGTGTGTGTGTATCAGTGTATGTGTGTGTGTGTATCAGTGTGTGTGTATCAGTGTGTGTGTATCAGTGTGTATCAGTGTGTGTGTGTGTGTATCAGTGTGTGTGTGTGTGTGTGTGTGTCAGTGTGTGTGTGTGTGTCAGTGTGTTTGTGTGTATGTGTGTATCAGTGTATGTGTGTGTATCAGTGTGTGTGTGTGTGTGTGTGTATCAGTGTGTGTGTGTGTGTGTGTGTGTGTGTGTGTGTGTGTGTGTGTGTGTGTGTGTGTGTGTGTGTCCTGTTTACTGTATACAGTCCATCACATGTATCTGCAGTGTGTCCATGTCTGGAGCCTGGTACTGGCACTTAGGACAACATAGATCCGGCAGGTCCTCTGCCCCCGCTGCCCCCGGGTCCCCCACAGGTAACAGACCCTGATTACGGTACGAGGGGGCAGGGGGCACCGTGTTGAAGGCTGCACCTGCAAACACACCTGAGGAGAGAGAGAAGAGGACGAGTCGATGACATCAGAGACACCCAGTGTGTGTGTGTGTGTGTGTGTGTGTGTGTGTGTGTGTGTGTGTGTGTGTGTGTGTGATGTACCTTGTGGGGGGGGAATGTGGGGCGCCCGTGTTGAGAAGTCTTCCTGGTGTCTCAGCTTCATTTGCTCCATTCGTGCTCTGAAGGACAGACAGACAAACACACAGGTCTCATTATAATGATTCAGACCTGACTTCATGTACACAGAGAGACCACGTCTGAATCACAGATAAACCTGAAGAGATCTGACGACACAGTGTCCTCTGAGACTCGTCTTGTGTTGGACTTGTTGTTTTACCGTGACGTGGCTTCCTGTTTGAACCGTTCAATCTCAGAGCGGGCCTGAGTCAGCTGTTCCTGTAGCTCCTCCTTCTTCTGGTTCAGCTTCTCTCTGGCTTCTCGCTCCGCTAAGAAGTCTGCTTTGTAGATGTCGGCCTGAGCAGGACAGACGGGAAGGGGGGAGGGGAGAGATATTCAACCTACAGCAGCCATCTTTAATTTCAGTGAATCTGGAAACACGTTTAGATGTGTCAGACTGATCAGTAAGAAAACGAAACATTAACAGTCAGATCTGATGATGATGTGTTGATGATGTCATCACATCATCAACACATCATCATCAGCTGATGTGAAATCAGCTGAGCCTAATGGGACAGAGTGAGGCCTTCAGTTGGGTTGTTTCTTGAATAAAGGGAGACTCAGCCAGAGTCTGGGGGGAAATGTTTGTTGGTGGCAGCTTGCTGTGAGGCTGTTTATTTAATCTAGTTGTTTTATTAGTTTTTGCTGTTTTGTGTTATTTCTGGTTAATAAATCAACCACCTTATTTTGCATCTATTTCTGCCTCCTGAGATCTTTTTACTCACCACCAGTGCAGAACAGCCACACTTAAATCCCAATTTAGATGTTGACTTACAATCAGTAATGTTCCGCACACAGAGGAAGGAGGTCACATGACTGTGTACCTGAGCGGTGAGAACAGGGATGGTCTCCAGAGAGCCTTTCTGCTGCTCCACCTCCTCCTTCAGTTTATCGATCAGATCCTGTTTCAGAGCCAGCGCTCGCTCCGCCTCCTCCAGACGGCTGCAGAGGTTTCCGCCCTGCAACAGCAGCACACATGACCGTGAAGACTCTGTCAGCTCGAGTGATGGTGCTCAACAGGAAGTGGACCGTCACCTTACCTCACACTTCAGTTTGGAGTCGTAGTCTCTGAAGAGACAGGTGTAGGCGTGCTGCAGCTGCGTCAGTTTCTTCCTGAGACGAGAGAAGAGAAACTTTACAGACCAGTTTGACTAAACCAGTTTGTCTCAGATTTTCTTGTATCAACCCACTTCTCCTCTGTGACCACGTGTCTCTCCGTCTTCAGGGCCGTCTCCAGACTCTGCGTCTGCAGCAGCAGTTTGTCCATCGCCACGTGATGCTGCTTCCTCTGCTGCTCCAACTCACGCTCAGCCGCCTGCAGCGCCTTGACCTTACTGTTCATCCTGAGACAGACAGAGAGGAGGAGGAGGAGGAGGAAGAGACAGACAGAGACAAGGAGGAGGAGGAGGAGGAGGAGGAGGAAGAGGAAGAGGAAGAGACAGACAGAGACAAGGAGGAGGAGGAGGAGGAGGAAGAGGAAGAGGAAGAGACAGACAGAGACAAGGAGGAGGAGGAGGAGGAGGAGGAGGAAGAGGAAGAGGAAGAGGAAGAGGAAGAGACAGACAGAGACGAGGAGGAGGAGGAGGAGGAGGAGGAGAGGAGGAGGAAGAGACAGACAGAGACAAGGAGGAGGAGGAGGAGGAAGAGGAGGAGACAGACAGAGACATGTAAGGAGGAGGAGGAGGAGAGGAGGAGGAGGAGACAGACAGAGACATGTAAGATGGAGGAGAGGGAGAGAGGAGGAGGAGGAGGAGGGAGAGGAAGAGGAGGAAGAGGAGGAGGAGACAGACAGAGACATGTAAGATGGAGGAGAGGTAGAGGAGGAGGAGGAGGGAGAGGAAGGGGAGGAAGAGGAGGGAGAGGAGGAGGAGACAGACAGAGACATGTAAAACAGACACACAGAGGATCTCGTGTATACTGAGGTCAGAGGACACTCACTTGTCTTCCATCACTTTACGTTCATGCAGACTTTTCTCCTGAAGGCTCCGGCTCTCGTTCAGCTCTGCCAGCAGAGACGTGGCCTGAGCTTTCAGAGCCTCGCAGTCCTTCGCCAGCTGCACAAACACAGAGCGCTGCGTCAGCCTTTATCACTGAGTTCATAAGCTTACAGGGACACACATCAACAGAATCAGACTGCTTCATGTAAACACTCATTAGAGACTGATCCCATCTGGGCGGGTTCAGATGTTATCATGTACCCGCTTGATCTAATGTCTTCCTCCTGCTCGGGGTCAAATGACCACTGAGCGTCTCCCTGTTTATTGACTGCAGGGCGATTCTGTACGTCTTAGTTTTCATTTTCATAAGGATGAGGAGACGTAAAAAAATAAACACAAAGGTCAAATAAAACATCGACATCAGATCACAGATGTTAGAGAGGAGAAGCCACATGCCCCCCCCCTTCCAGAAACTGGAACCTGACATAGAACAGAGATCAGTTTGAACAGAGTCTCTGGCTGCTGTCCCGACAGGAAGCTGTCCGCATGTCTGTTTGATTTGAAACTGATTCAATGTTTGATGAACGTACACGGACATCTTAATGCGAACACTTCATGCAGCGCTCATGGAGACAGTGAAGAGGACAAACAAGACTCTGAACGTTTGACTTTGAGATGATCAGAGTCTGGATCCTACCTGAGCGCAGTCTTTGTCCTTCTGTTTGAGCAGAGCTTCAGTTCTGTCCCTCTGAGCTGAACTCTTCTGCAGCTTCTCCAGCTTCTCCTCCAGGTCGCGGTACCTGCAGACGCCACACGTTACAACTGTACACGTCTGACAACACGACTTTAACATTCATCACTTCTCCCTCCAGATCTACACGCAGCCGTCTGAACACTCTGTGATGTTTCACTGACTCTCGTTGGTTTTCAGGTTAAAGTTTGAGCTGCAAGCTAGATGATTTAACGTCAGCTGCAGCGGGTAAATGTTGGAGGTCAAAGGTCACTTGTCAGTTCTCGTCACTGTCACTGTCAGAGCTGCTGGATGTCTTTTATTGATTCACATTTAAAAGAATGAAAAAAATGGAAACTTTAAACCGTTCTAAATGTAGCAGCATGGTCAGAATAAATCAGCAGCAGTCTGAGTGAAGATCAGCGCTCTGATGCTTTTTGAGATGTTAAAAGAAGAAGACGTGAGTGATCTGTTCCAGACACAAACACAAACATGCAGGGAGATGGACTGACGCCAGCTGGAGAACAAAGCTGTCAGAGTTTATCATGAGACTTATATCATCATCATCTTGTTGTTGTTTTTATGCTTTTATTCTGAAAAGATCTGATCTGAAAACAGCTTAAGATGAACATCGTACCTGAGCCTCTATCCTTCAGGTACGACGTTCACACACAGAGTGAGCATCGCCTCTTTGATTAGAATCAGTTTCCTGATGTATTGATATAAATTCAGATTATTGTGAACGCTCATGCAGCGATAACGATGACCCGCCCTGATGTAACCTCAAAGTTCAACCTCAAGTTCAAGTACGCTGAAAGAAGCTGCTGATTTGAAGAGACCTTCAATCCTTTCAGGTAACGATGTGACAACGCTTTGAGGAGTGAACGGACTAAAAACAGATGAAGAAGAAAAACAAGATGATTAAAAAATAAAGAAGAAGAGACGGCGTGACGGCGAGGTAACATGCACACAGTGAGAAAGAGAACCACACAGAGCTCACCTGCCCTGTGTGGCCTGAAGCTGCTCTGTGAGTTTAGCCAGGCTAGAGCTAGAGAGAGGAGGAGGAGGAGGAGGAGGAGGAAGAGGGGGAGGAGGAGGAAGAGAAGGAGGAGGAGGAAGAGGAGGAGAATGAGAGGAGGAGGAAGAGGAAGAGGAGGAGGAAGAGGAGGAGGAGGAGGAGAGAGGGTTAGGTTTAATTAAGCAGAAACACTCTGATGCAGAGAAGAACTGTAAAGATGAAATAATGAATCAGCTGTTAGAAACATGAAGTCACAGATATTAAACATCAGGAGGATAAACGTACCAGTCGGAGGAGTGCTGAGCCTCAGAGCGATGAGGAGCCACCTCCTCAGTGACGTTATTCACCTGGAAGGAAACATTCAGGCTTTAAGATGGAGGGGAAACTCAACTTTGATCTTTTTAATAAAACCGTCTGCTCAGACTTCAAAAGCAGCTCGTCTCTAACTTAGCGTCTGAGACTGATGATTGTCTAAATATCCATCCATCCATTATCTATGCTGTCTTTGGGCTGTGGGAGGAAGCCGGAGTACCAGGAGAGAACCCACACATGCAAGAGTAGAACATGCAAACGGGGATTCAAACCAGGAACCTCCTCGCTGTGAGGGGGACAGCTCTAATCTCTTAACTCTAACTTTCAGTCAACCTAACGACAGGCTGAGAGCTGGAGCTGAGGCGGATTTTAAACCTCCTGACAAACCATTACACCACGCCCACCTGTCAATCAGGTCAGCTACACGCCTTATTGTGAATAACTCTTATCCTTCATCAAATCAAAACTGATGAGTCATCAAAACATTCACCCCCCCCGTACAGTGTGTGTCAATCGAGACATGAGCGAATCACACCTATTTGTTTTTTTGAACCAGGCTGTAAACATGTTAATCTCTGCTGTAAAAACAGGCTTTTTAGAATGGGTGTGTTTGTGACTTCCTGTGCTTCTGCAGCCAGCCTCTAGTGGGCCCTTAAGGAACTGCAGGATTTTACACTTCAGCATCAGCTTCATTTTTTAAACACTGGAGGTTGACACTTAGTTTAAACCTGCGCCGGTTTCCTACCTGTGCCTGCGCCATTTTGGCTTGTAGCTGGTCGATGCAGCGCCTCATTCGCTCTCTCTCTTTCTCTCCCTCCTCCTTCTCTCTCTCCAGCTCTTCGTTCTTCTTCCTCAGCTCGCTCATCCCTTCCTCCAGCTTTTCTTTGTGGCTCTTCAGCAGCAGGAGGAAGTCGTTTGCACCTTCGACAGGCTGCAGAGAGAGAGAGAGAGAGAGAGAGTGAGGGATGAACGGAAGAAGGGATGACAGACCGCCTTCACCCTCTGAGCTGGTGCACAGACAGAAGCAAAGATTTAGTGCACCAGGAAAGAAGACAAACTGGGGAGAAGTGTTGGATCAGAGCTGTGCTCCATTCAAAGCAAAACAAAAAGAAACTTCTGCTGTCCAGCCACTACTAAATCCAGTTTTCCTGCTCGGAAGTAAAAGAAAGGAACAAGTTCCACCTCTTAATCGCCTGATGTGCGTTAGTTTCATGTTTTAACGCTGCATGCAGATTACTGCCAGGTTAGACTTCACAGGACATCATCAGAACGTTTCACCGAGTAGAAAGTCGGGATTTCACACCTCCGCCTTGAAGGTAAGGTGGGGTAAAGCACTAAACTAAAAAGGTATGACGCCCACAAAATTAAGTGCCAGGGATCTGATTGGTGCACAGCAGGGGGGAGGGATCAGGCTCACCTGGCCATTCTCCCTGACCATCATCTCCCCCTGCACCTCTGAGAAAGAGGAGGGGGGAGAAAAGAGGGAGCTTAGCACACTGGCATCGCCCTAAACACACACAGACACACAGGTTAGACGACAGAATTAACACAAACAGCAGACAAAACAAACAGGTGGATTCATTGTACCAGGCTGCGAGGGGGCGTGGTCTGTGTATGTCGGTCCGTCTCTTCGATCCTCTTCTTGTCCCGCTGATCCAGAGTCTGAAACCCAACAGAAAGACAAACAGACAAATCAGTCCTAAAGCTGTTTTAATCCCTGCTCCTCTGACATGTCTCTCATGACTAACGACTCCTTTTGATTATTTCTGATTCATGATTCGCTCGCCGTCTGTCAGACCGTATGGTAACTATAAACCCTGCACACACTAAGATAAGGATTACAAACATGGTGTTAAAAACACAAAGGAAGCCGTGCATGTGTTGAACAGCTGTTAGTGGGTGAACATAAGGAACAGGCTGACCTTCGGTCCGTCCAGCGGTCCGTTCCTGGCCGGGCGTCCCTGCAGCTCTTCAGTCTGACTGGAGCTGCAGCAGTTGGTGGATGGGGGGAACGAGGGGGCCGGTCCGTTCACTAATCCCTGTAAGGAGTGGTTCTCCTGGGCCAGCCTCTCCACCAGCGACCTGGCCTCCTGGAAACGACAGCTGAGAAACTCTCGTTCCTCCCTCGTCCTCCGCTGCCATCCCTCCATCTCCTCGCAGCGCTGACGCAAGGCGAGGTTACTCCGCCTCAGAGCCTCTGGAGGGGGGGGGGGGGGGGCAGGTAGTGTTAATATCAGGTAGGAAGATGTGCACAGGGGCCATGGATGAAACAACACTGTGAGAAGATAAATCTCTGACTCAGCAGATCGTCTCTTGTTGGGTTTTATTTATCACACATCAGTTATAAATAGAAAGTTGACAGGAGGACGCCACGAGGACTCTTTTTCTGAGCCGACGTCTGTTTTGTCTTTATTTCTGTTTATTTAATCAGCTGATTGTGGATAATGTTGGGTAACATCTGGGACTCTGGATGTGTATTACTAAACATCTGATGCTGCAACATCTGTTAGCGCAGGGGCTCCCAAATGTTTCCAGTTACCCCCCCCCAACCCTCCCTTTACCAAAATAACAGTAAGACTGTATCAGCTCCAGGATTCTCAGTTTGATTCAAACTCCAGCATCCAAAGAGAAAACACTCTGCACTTTGATTTGTGTTAACTTGACTTCTTGTATTATGGGATACACGGTACCTCTGAGCTGCTGGTTGTCTCCCAGTAACCTAGTCACCACTTCATTGGCAGCGAGCTCCGGTGGGACCCTGAGGGCCCCCCCACTGTCCTCTCCTGACATCTCCCACTGCATGGGGCCGTCAGGCTGCGGCTGCACCATACCTGCAGAAAAATACTGATTGTTTGTTTGGATCCCCATGAGCTTCAGAATCAGGTAGAAGTTATTCTTCCTGAGGTTCACAGTTTACACGTTCATCACAAACATGACACAACATACAGCACGTCATCTACGACAACTAAAAATAATAAAAACATAAAGCAGACAATCGGAGGCTTCGTCTGAGTCTGTCTGAAAGCATGCATGTTATGATGACTGTAAAAGGAACTTAGGGGCTCTAACTCTTATTCTAATCCAACACCTGTTATCTAAATATGATGAGCTGACAGTGATTGACACCTGGCTGAGCCCGCCTCCTGCTGTCAGGCCTCATGTACCTTTCACTTTCACTTTCAGCCCTCACGATGATCCTGCCACACACACACACACACACACACACACACACACACACACACACACACACACACACACACACACACACACACACACACACACACACACACACACACACACACACACACACACACACACACACACACACACACACTGCAGGTGTCAGTGAACGGGAGGAAAACATGACGTCATCCTGGGTACCATGAGGCTCGGAGCTCGAGCTAGATATAAAGCTTTATTTAAGTGTTACATTACAACATAAACAGACTAGAATAACCACCGGAGGTAGAATTAAAAAGCTGATTCACGCATTTTAATCACAGCTAACATGATTTCACTCAAGACAACACCTGACCCCAGCTCAATGCTAACGGTACATGATCAGAATTCAAGCTAGCTTACCTTTCTTCTTCTTCTTTTGTAGTTATGATTGTCCTTAAGGTCCTTAGTTAGCAGCTCCTTCTCTCACATACAGCCTGTTAAAGCGGAGTTAGCCCTTCGGTGGCTAATTAGATGTAGCTAGCGCGTTAGTTTCAGAGCTAGCTGGGTAAATGTAGCTAGCCGATGTGAAACTGAGGTTTGTGTTAAATGTCAGAATCAGAAACAAACATCAACCAGCTGCGAGTCTTCTTAACGACATTTTGCCCATTTTTTGTTGCGTTGTGCTGAATCACAGCGTGAGTTTGAGGTGCTCTGAGGATACCTGTCACAGCAGAGGCAGCCGACTGTTGTTAGCTCAGGAAATGCTAAGTGTGTTTCCGCCCTGAGAGGAGACTGTCAGGCAGCACTTCCTCTCAGGCTGCAAAAAAAAATGTAAATCCATTAAAGGAGCAACATGTAACTCTGACACCTAGTGTTTAAAATGGGTACTGCAGTCCAAATTCAAAACATTGTAGAGCGCTGTCTCCCCCAGCTCCCTCCTCTCTAGAGTCGATGCTCACGCAGATTGCCAAAGCTCTATTGTAGAGCCTCTATATGTTATTTATTTTATGTTATTATTTATATTTTTTATCCGTCTGTCCTTTTGTCCATTTCTTTTGGATATGCACCTGTTCATTTTAACGTGTTTTGAAAGATGTCAGCGTCATGTTGTTTGTGTATATATTCTTGATTTATAAAAACACAAGGTGCCTGAGAGACTTCACTCAGGTCAAATCTGTCCCGTGTTTCCAGGAAATCCCCTTCCTCCTTCCTCGGTGGTTGATGACGTCAGCAGGCTGCAGCATCACGCCCCCCCCCCCCTCACTCTCTCTCTCTCTCTCTCTCTCTCTCTCTCTCTCTCTGTGTGTGTGTTGGTGGGTGTTCGAGGCTCCATGATGCTCTCCCTCTCTGCAGCTCTCACTTTGGCGTTAGCCTGGATGTTTCCGGCTCACGGCCTATACTTCCACATCGGAGAGACGGAGAAGAAATGTTTCATAGAAGAAATCCCGGATGAGACCATGGTGATCGGTAAGGACACGAGCCGTTAGCACGGGGAGCTAACTAGCAGTGCACACGAACAGCTGTCTCCATCAGAGATGCTGCCGTGAATCAAACCTTTAAATCAACAAATCACGCGAGAGTTCACAGTTCACGACGAGAACACCTTTCTAATAATTTAAATAAACTCTGACGTTGAATGTAAGTTTAAGTCTTTATATTGAACATTTCTGTGTCAGCAGGTGTAACACTCAATCACTGAGATATTTACAGGCCTCACAGAGCTTTGATTTTTATTTTTCTCTTTTTTTTAAACTCTACAATCATGAATCAGACTCTTTTATCCAAAGAGACGAACATGAGAGAAAGTGTGCAGCTTTCTAAAGATTGTTTTACAGTATTAAAGCACTGCATGAGGGGTCTGCTGCTCTGTGTGCTCGACACATGAATGAAATGTACTCATCCTGAGCTGTGCACAGTTTGTATTGTTTGAAGATATCTCACATGAAAATACCTTCCAGGAGTCTTGTAGTACTAGACCAAGACCGGTCTCAAGACCACTTTTTGAAGGTCTCGCTCTCAGACTGGGCATACTCTGGATTTTGGATCAAGACCAGTCAAGACCACCACTGATTCATCACGTCGTTACTGTGATCAGAAGGAAAACGCCAAATAACGTCAATTCATTCACAATCAGATTTTTATCCCGAGGTTAAACCTTCCCGCTGTGACGGTCTAAGTGAGGGACCCGCCCCCTGCACACAGGATGACGATTTTTCAGAGATTTTTCTGGTCTTGGTCTTGTTCCCTAAATGTCTCTAGTCTGTCCTGGTCTCTGTTAGTCTGGACTACAACTCTCCCTTCTAGATCAGTTTGTCTGACTGCTTTCAGGATAACAGATTGGGGCTCTGTCTTTATGTCAGACTGCAGCACATCTCTTCTACCTCTCATGTTTCTGTATCTCTGACTCTGTGAGTGGGCAGCATCATCCTCAGGAACAGGGAGAGGGAGTTATTCAAAACTCAAAACTGGATTTATTCTAAATGTGTGTTTCTAATGTTTTTATTTTGAAAAAAGAAACTAAAGAACGTCGACAATTCTGATGAAGTAAAAAAACTACCTAAGGATCTACAGTTAGACGAAAGGTGAATGAAGTCATGTTTCATCTCCTCTGATAATGTTTCATGATGTCATGGCTCCTTGCTTCTCCTCCCGTCCTACAGGGAAGTATCGCACTCAGCTGTGGGACAAGCAGAGCGGATCCTTCCTCCCGGCGACGCCCGGCCTCGGGATGCACGTGGAGATCAAAGATCCAGACACCAAGGTGAGCACGGTGGCCGAGCGGCTGGAAGTCACACCGCTGCATAACGTATGGAAACATAAGCCGTGTTTGTCTCTCTCAGATCATCCTGTCCCGTCAGTACGGCTCAGACGGACGCTTCACCTTCACCTCTCACACTCCGGGAGAGCATCAGATCTGTCTGCACTCCAACTCCACCAAGATGGCGCTGTTTGCAGGAGGGAAACTGGTACCAACACACACACACACTGGTTTTTAACTTCTACCCACTGAAGATGTTAAATATTCACTTGATGGACTGAAGTCCTGAACGTTAGTCTGAGCTGGGGTCTGAACCTGTCAAACCAGACTGGGTCAGTGGTTAGCAAAACCCTGAGGACTGACCAGTTTAACCAGATTCAGGACTCTGTCACACCAGGCCCGCTCGCCTGCACTCACACAGCTCCAGGGTGAACTGGGCTGAGGGCTTTATGAAGCGTCCTTTAGTTCACATGAAGCTCGTCTCAGAGTCGTCACAGAGCTTTACTGACTCTCCAGTTTATTTTGAGTGGTTCTGGTTCAGATACGACCTCGAACACTCCGGGGGGTTTCTGCTTCTCCTGGGTCAGTTATCCAGACAGATTAATGACCAGTTTCTCTTACCGCAGAGCTCTTTTATTATCACCTGTGATCGTTCATCTTTTCCCCCAGGGAGAGAATATAACCTGATGTAGATTTCAAACTGTCTGTTTCCTGTCACATCAGAGAGTTCACCTGGACATCCAGGTGGGAGAACACACCAACAACTACCCCGAGATCGCTGCCAAAGACAAACTTACAGAGCTGCAGCTGAGGGTGCGCCAGCTGCTGGACCAGGTGGAGCAGATCCAGAAGGAGCAGAACTACCAGAGGGTCAGTAAGACACACCTCCAAGAGATTACAGGTGTGCTCTCAGGTTACCAAAGGTCAAGTTTAATCAGAGAGGTGTGTGTGTGTGTGTCCTCTGCAGTACCGTGAGGAGCGTTTCCGGATGACGAGCGAGAGCACCAACCAGCGCGTCCTGTGGTGGTCCATCGCTCAGACGCTCATCCTCATCGTCACCGGGATCTGGCAGATGAAACACCTCAAGAGCTTCTTTGAGGCTAAGAAACTGGTGTAACATCTGAACTCAACATCTGGGCGAGTTCACAGACTTTACAGGAGGCGACGTCAGGTCTGAATATCAGCCATACGAGGAGCACGAGGAGGCGGGCTGGGCGACCTCTTCTACCTGTACATGTTTTAGCTTTAGCTGTTTTCTGTTAGCAACACCAGCTGCCTCTCTTTGTGTTTCCTGTTTTTATCCAGAGACACATCTCTGCCCTGAGAAGGTTTGTTACCTTAACAGGATTTTAAACTTCGATATGACACTAACAAAACTCTATGGAGCTCCTGAGGGCTCAGGTAAAAAAAAAAAAAAGAAGAGACGTTTGCAAATCTGTGCACACGGATTCAAAATCTGTGGTTTAAACATCTGTACGCACATATAAAAAATCTGTACGCGCGGATTGAACATCTGTACGCACGGATTAAACATCTGTACGCACGGATTAAACATCTGCACGCTCGGATTAAACATCTGTACGCACGGATTAAACATCTGCACGCTCGGATTAAACATTTGTAGTTTAAACATCTGTACGCAGTTTAAACATCTGTACGCACGGATTAAACATCTGCACGCTCGGATTGAACATCTGTACGCACGGATTAAACATTTGTAGTTTAAACATCTGTACGCAGTTTAAACATCTGTACGCACGGATTAAACATCTGTACGCACGGATTGAACATTTGTAGTTTAAACATCTGTACGCAGTTTAAACATCTGTACGCACGGATTAAACATCTGCACGCTCGGATTGAACATCTGTACACACGGATTAAACATATGTAGTTTAAACATCTGTACACACGGATTAAACATTTGCAGTTTAAACATCTGTACGCAGTTTAAACATCTGTACGCAGTTTAAACATCTGTACGCACGGATTAAACATATGTAGATTAAACATCTGTACGCACGGAGTAAACATCTGTACGCTCGGATTAAACATCTGTACACACATATTAAACATCTGTACGCACGGATTAAACATCTGCAGGCACGGATTAAACATCTGTATGCACAGATTAAACATCTGCACGCAGGGAATAAACATCTGTACGCTTTGCGTGAGCGTGGTTTTGCAAACGGCTCTTCTTATCGCCCTCACCTGAGCCTTTGGGGGGTTCTCAGTAAAAAACAAAATGATATGATACCTACTCACTGCTATTTGGGTCATTTCATGTTTTTAATGAACAAAAGTTGCAGGCTCACTCCTGCTCAGCGTCTGCACTCAAACACGTCTGTGCAGGATGGTTGTCACTTTGGACGGCGTGCAGGAGTGCGTCTACAGCTTTGAAGGGTTCCTCCTGTGTGATGAGCACCATGTCGTTTTATAAAAGCTTCAGTCAGTTTTGATACTATCGCTCATTAAAAAGATGGAGGTCGTATCGGAGTATTAAGGATTTAATGAAGTTTAGAGCTTCAGATGGTTTTAATGAAGATCAGTCATGAGAAAGTGAGATCTGATCTGTGACTTCATGTTTATAAAAGCTCTCCTCATACGAACAGCAGCTTCCGCACCGCTAAACTTTGACCCTTTGTTTAGCTGTAAACAGTTTAAAGCCCTCAGTTCATTTCTCCTGACAGCTTGTTGCGGGGCGGCGTGCAGCAGGTTCTTAAATCTTTTATGGATCAGTGAATATTTTTATCTCCTCGACTTCAGGCCTCGTCTGAAGCTTTGTTGTGTATTTGGACTGCAGATGAAGAACTACATCATATTGAACATTAACCAGCTGACAGAGTTCACAGGACGGTTAGAAACATTTATTCTTACGGACCAATCACACAGAGGCGCGTTGAGCTCATCTGGGCCTGTGGGGCGGGGCTGCGTGTGCAAACGGGCGCCATTCGAGAAAACGTAGAGATCTCGCCGTTACTTTGCTCCAAGACGAGAAGGGTAAAAAGCCTCCTGGCTGCTTCGGTAAAATGCAACACTGACGAGCGCTACTCAGCTGAAAAGTTTTTCAACTTTTATGCACGCCATAAAAACGGCTGGAAAAACAAGTGTCACAGCAGCCGAGAAGAGCGCCCGGTAATCGTGCTGACCAGACGACCACTGTGGTTCTCCTGGTGATGATTATCCAGCGACGCGTCTCTGTGTGATCGAGCCACGAGTTTGACTAAGTAAAGGTCATTAGAGGTCATTTAAGGTCATTTAGCTACGGAAGGTCAAAGAGGACATTCAGCCGTACATTTTGATTGGCTCACTTTTCTTGTTATCTCAACACGTTATTTTGGGATTCATATCAGTCGTTTTTTCTGAAGATCTCACGCCATTCACTCGTTAACACGTGAAAAGAATCTTCCCTCCTTCGAGATAACGGCGTTCATAAGTCAAGATCTCGACACTACAGTCGGGACATATTTGTCTGAATGTCCTTTCAGGGCTTCCGTAGTTATCAGTTTTCTTCCTGTGCGGCAACCTTCATCAGAGACGGAGCGTGCTCAGTGGGGCTGAAGGTCACAGGACGACATGTTTGTAAATAAAGAAACGCTCTCAGTCACTTCCTGTTCAGTCATTTATTTATTGTTCTAGTTGCAGTTTTCAGTTATTCTAATGTTCTTTATCTCGTCTTTTAACCACGGCGTGCTGAATGTTAATAGTTAGCAGACTGTTTGTTGTAAATAAAACGTGCAGCTGTTGATTTTCTAAAACCTTTTACACTGAATGAAGCGTGTCCGTGTTTCAGTCATCTCAACGTATTTATTCTGCCGCCGCCATGGTTCACACGGGGTCGTTGTTGTTGGACGGCGAGTCTTTGACATGTCTCTCTGGCCGTTTGTCACATCGTCCCTCGTTAACCATCAGGGCGTAACCTCCACGAGCTCAATAAAGAAACTTCAAACTGTCTCTCATCTCTTTTTTTATTTTTATTGTGTGAAAAAAATGCAAACCTCATCAAACGGAGAGAGAGGAGAGGACAGATGGCCGGGGTCAAACAAATGAGCAAGGGGGGGGGGCTGGTAAGAATGCGGGGAAGAGGGTGGGGTTGTTTGGGGTTGGGGATTAGCAGTGTAAAAAGTTTCAGACTGGAGGATGACCACAGATTGTTTAGTGGGAGGAGCTGAGGTGAACCTACAACATGCCCCAAGTCTCAGACCCCTCGGAGGAAAGCTGCGGACTGCAGGGTCCAGACCGCTGTCTGTACATTTGTGCATCTTTTGAAGAGTGGTGGATGTAAACACGGCATGAAGACGCAGAGCAACTCGTAAAAAAGAAACCATCAAGAAAAAGGAATCTGCACTCACATTTAGTCTCGGCTCGGGCAGTAAACGCAGCGTCCACACAACCGGGCCCAGGATGTTAAATCTGTTTTTATCAGAGACACAAACACACGCTGACCTGCTGACAACACACACGCACACAGCGCACCAAAACAACACCAAACGAGCTGTGACTTATAAAGGGATCAGTGATTTATTAAATCAAGTCTTTGTACAGTTAGAGCGGCACATTGTGTTAGACGTCACATGTCGGGTCGAAAGGTAGAAAATATCACATCAAACAAACTCTCACTAACATGTCGGACTCCTTCTGTGTTCTTCTACGTCGGGTTTGGATCTGCAGGAGGATTTCCATGAGCGCTACAGGTGAGTGATACGTTACTGTTAAAAAAGGTCAGACTAGTTCTGCTCTGCGGCCGCTCGCTGACGGACTGAGGAGGATTAATCAAAGACTTGAACACGAGGCTGTGATGAGAGGTCCAGCTGCAGCGTGGAGACCTCCTGCTTCGTGCCTCACAAACAGTTTTTATTTTCTTCTTCTCTTATTGTCCCGACACGGTGAGGTGCTGCATCTTCTTGGCCGCCTCCTCTGACACCGTCTTTGAGTTTTTCTCGGGGCTGGGGGCCGGACTCGGACCTGGACTCGGGTTTGGGGTGTTAGCTGCGCTGTTGGGATACTCTCTGTTACCGAAGATGATGCTGCCCACCCGCACGTTAGTGGAGCCCACCTCGATCTGAGACACAGGAGACGTAAACATCAGAGTGTAAAAGAGGACAGAGATGTAAACATCAGAGTGTAAAAGAGGACAGAGATGTAAACATGTCCTCCTGAAGGACTGATACTCACTGCATGTTCAAAGTCTGTGGACATGCCCATACTGAGCTCCACCTCCTCCACAGGAAGCTTCAGACTGTCACACACCTCCTGTCTCCGACTGAGCAACATCTGCAGGACACACACACAGACACACACACATTGTGTTGGACTTGTGTTCTGGGTATTAAAGCGTCTCCCCCCCCCCTCCTCCCACCTGTGCTCGCTCTGTACCTGGAAGTCAGGGTTGGGGCCCAGACGGAGGTCGTAGCCGTAGCGTCCGATGGTCATGAGTCCTAAGAAGTGCAGGGCGGAGCACTGAGACACGATGTGCTTCACTGTGCTGACTGTGTCCTCTGGAGGAAGGCCGTGTTTACCTGCAGAGACACAGTGACACACTGAGCGCCTGACCAACAGGTGACACTCTGAACACCTGAACAACAGGTGACACGCTGAACACCTGAACAACAGGTGACACACTGAACACCTGAACAACAGGTGACACACTGAACACCTGAACAACAGGTGACACACTGAACACCTGAACAACAGGTGACACACTGAACACCTGAACAACAGGTGACACACTGAACACCTGAACAACAGGTGACACACTGAACACCTGAAAACGTGTTCACACACACAGGAAGAAGACTCACTCTGTTCTCCGCTGGTGTTGATCTGCACCATGATCTTTAACCTCTGCGTGCTGGATCCTCTCACACGCTGCCACGAGCTGTTCACCTTGTCGGCCAGCTTCGCTGAGTCCACCGTCTCCACCAGGAACAGGTTCTGAACACCTGAGGACACAAAGAGCAGTTCGCTTACCTCACACAGCTGCTGGGCAAAAGAACCTCCATTCAACTGTGACCAATCAGAAGTCCTCTTCATCTGTCCCAGGACTGTCTCTCACCCAGGAGTTTGTTGACGTTATTCTTCTGCAGGTGACCGATGAAGTGCCACTTAATGTCCGGACACGAGGATAAGATCTACAGGAAGGAGAAGAAGAACTTTAAATCTGTGTTTTCATGAGAACACATTTTCAAACTTTGATAAAAATCAAATAGTTAATAGAGTTTATAAATCTGTGAACTTACCAGAGGGTCTGCCGCCTTATCCACCAGCTCATTCACCTGGAGAGGACAGACAGGTGAGGACAGACAGACAGGTGAGGTTCATCTCTGTTTTCCTCTCACAGCTTCACACTCAAACTGTTCATTTTTATTTTTCACTCACGTAGTTTTCTCCAAAGTTCCTCTGGCCCTGTCTGTACGCCTCCACCACCATGTCCGGAGGTTTGGTCTTACTGACAGCGACGAGGCGAGGAGGCACAGCAGGCAGAGTCTGACACACACACACACACACACACACACACACACACACACACACACACACACACACACACACACACACACACACACACACACACACACACACACACACACACACACACACACACACACACACACACACACACACACACACACACACACACACACACACACACACACACACACACACACACACACACACACACACACACACACACACGTGTGAACAGTGAGTCAGCCTGATCATCTCTGACATACAGTCAGGTGCAGGTGTGTGTCAGAGCGGATCTCAGTGTGGATACAGAAACATGCACATCACGACATCATAACAGTGTGTCCCTGCAGCAGGCTCCTCCTGCTCCCACGCACATCACGCACATCACGCACGGAGCATGCTGTTATGAAAGTGCTGCCAGCAGCCCCTCTCACATCCAAAGGTTGAGGTGTTTGGCAGCCTTACATAACGCGTCGTGCCGCCGCAGAGACACTTTTTCACACCCGGCAGAAGAGCTCCATGAGCGGGGCTCCTGAGCAGGATTCTCCCGGGCTATGGTTACCTTAGGCCGGCGTGCGGCCGCCTGGTTCACCCGCTCCACCACCGACTGCAGCGCCTTTCCAACCTCCTCCGACATTGCTACTTTCCACATACCGTCAGACGCCGACGACACACACACGTCAAGCAACGTTAAGGAAAGCGTCAACGATGACGTCAGTGCCCTTTCACAATAAAAGTCCAGCTGAAAGGGAAGTGGGTCCTGTGCAGAGAGCGCCCCCTACTGTCCCTGCTGCAGAGGACACCCACTGCTCAGAACCAGAGACACTAAATGTACATCAGGTCTGTAATACACAGATTTTATATTGAAACTAAAGATGAAGCTTTCTCTGAACGTTTCTCATCACAGACTGAGGAGGTCAGCCTCCATTAAAATATTACACTTAAGAATCCATTATAATTACTTATCAAAGCTCATCAGCAGACATCAGGTGTAAAAACAGAATCACACACCTACTTTGAACAATAACTTTATGTTCCCTCAACTCTTTAGATTTATGTTTCTGATGTTTTATTGTTTCTGTGTCATCTCTCCTCGCTTGTTGCTGCTCCAACACATTTCTGTGTTGTGGGATGAATAAAAGGATGACCTTCTATCTTATCTCTGTAAAGGATCGTCCGGTAACATGGAGACAGATTTAACCGTCCAAATATAAACACATAACATAAAGCACATATGCTAAGGGACATAATCCCTCACAGAGATCTTTGATGCTCTTCTCCAACATGATCTCTGACTTTGAATATTAAAAGATGACTTTAGAACATTTTCAATCAGTTGAGAACTTTTGTTCTCTAACCCGAAAGGACTCCGACTCACAGCTGCTGGATCACTTTAAGAAGTCTCTAATGAAAGAACTGACACGAGTTACAAAGAAAAACAGATTTATTCACAAGATCCAACAACTGAAAACATTTCCAAACTAAAGAGGAGAGTGACGGTTCAGGTCAAAAACAAAAAGAAGTCAATGAAAAAGAATTTTAAAAAAGTCAGGATCCGCCTCGTCAGACTCTCTCTAAGGCCTCCAACATGATGATGCTGTTTCCTCGGATCACCTGGAACAGACGACACACACGTTAAACACATGTTACACACACACACAGTCATCTAGAGGATGCTCACTGTACTGACCACCATGCCAATGGTGTTCTGTTGACCTCCGGGTCCCATCTCAATAGAGTCGTCCACCACCAGGTTCATGAAGGGATCGAACCCTCGCAGGATGCCCTGCACGTGTCTGCCTCCGTTCAGCTTCACTACAACACAGAATAAATCACATGTTAGGATTCATCATGTTACACAACCATCTCCAATATTGATCCTAGTTTGAGCATGTTTCTGCTCGTGGAGCTTATTAGAAACATGCAGAGGCTTTTTAGGTCGGGTACAATCACTTCTATCTGAACCACTTCTCTTGCCTGCTTCCATCGCTGCAACACCTGTTGGTTTGATCTGATAACTGCTCTCATATCTGACAAACTGAGAGGCGTCCAAAACGGCCGTGTGGGGGGGGGTGTCTTAAAAGCGCCTACCTTCTCTGGTCCAAACAAATCCAGAGCATTCAGGACCAGAATCTAAAGTAAAAGGAGGACATACTGGCTGCTGCATTGTTGTCAGAGAAGCCAGCACTTCAACATAGCATGTTTCCTTAACGTCTGATCATATAGTAAGATACCGTTATAATTTCAGTCTCTACACATCTCACTGATTTGACCTTTAAGACATCGCTCTATTATCACCTGAACAAGCAAAGCCACAAAATAAAAATAATCTTATACCGCTAACTAGACCGTGTGGATCTGAGTACTCAGACAAAGTGACTTTAAAACTGAACTCCTACTAATTAAAATAAGACAAAATAATGATCTCTGGGAGTTTTATTATTTTGAAAACCTTAAACATATTAAACCTCACAAACAAGAATTTTTTATTTAGAAGTGTATTTTTGGTTTTATTTCCTTTTTTATTTTTCACTCTTGACTCTCTAATCCATTCTGTTTTTAATTATTAATCATCGTCCTCCACACATTTATATTCATTTTGTTACTCACTTTATAACCTTGTTTGTAAATTAATCTAAATAAAGTTTAATATTGTGTGTGACCCCCCCTCAGATCTCCTCTTCGTTTTTTTCTTAATGACTCTTAAACATTGATTTCATTATTTAATATAACCTCTTTCCTCTCCGACCCTCCTCGGTCAGGTTTCTGTTCTTTTTCTTAACTCGTTTGAGTCTGTGATGAATCTTTTCTTCACAGCTCCTTTAGCTAGTTTGTCTTAAACACAACATATATCACATCTTCACCCCCCCTGAAGTCTCAGCTAACTGAGTCAAATGTCTGTTTTACTCACATGAAAGCTTTTTGTCCATGAACCTGAAATAAACAAGAATAATTTAATTAGTTTACAAGGAATGAATGAACCACAAAGACATGCTAGCTGAGGTTAGCATGTCTCATTCTCACACAGTGTAGCGTTAGCATGTTAGCTGTTCAATAAAGCGCATTTAAAGAACAGATTTCAGGTTTATATTTAATATTTAGTCACTTACTTCTTCAGCTCGGGAGGATGCGCTTTACTCATCTTGTCTGGGTTATTTTTCTACTCGCAGAATAAACTGTGTTCGTCTGCTTTTCGTTTCAAACCGCGGAAGGAGAACGTGCGGAGAAGAACCGGAACTAACACGGGAAACTTCCGGTATCCGCGTGCTCCTGCTGTGTGCACAGCGCCGCCTCGAGGCCTGGAGGACGCACAGCAACAGCAAATTATATATTCAACCTTTACTGGCATGAATGTAACTGACCATGTTGCCAAATCATCAAATAATAATAAAGGAAGTTTAATAACAGATTAAAAGCAGAGTAAGAATGTTTTTACATACATGAACATACACATTTATTTATGTCCAAAACCTTTTTTTATCCTGGCTGTCCAAAGTAGGGTTGTCAAAATACCAGAATTATAAAATTTGATTGGATTCTAGTACCTGTTTGTTACCACGGCAACAACAACAGAAGTCCTAGACATCCAATAAAGGGTTATTTTATTGCTTTGGGTTTTTAGTTACTCTCGTTTGAACGGTCTTGATTACACAAAGATGGGGGCGCCTGTTTATTTAATCATCTTTCCATTCTTGCAGGCTCCACCGTGGAATCATATGTTTCACATCACAATGCTATGAACTCTGGGTAATTCCCTCACGCTAAGTCTGCAGATAAGCCCACTTATGGACAGGGTGCATAAAGGGCTCGTAGAGTCAGCGAGAGATCCCTCAAACACTTGATGATTGGACAGTGGGACGGTCCTGAGCCCTCACAGAGCAGGGACGAGCATCAGAGTCAGTGTGTGTGAGGGAGGTCATCGAGAGTCCACCCTCACAAACACACTAAAAAGGAAACACACACAAAGCTTGTCATGAGAAAAGTCAATTTTAATCACGTCATCTATAAACTCTCGTCCAGAAGACTTTGAAAAAGTGGAAGCTTCAAAACCATTTAAATTAATTCTACATGTTCACAGTAGCACTTTGAAAACAGTAGCTGAAAGTCGTGTAACAAAACAACCCCCCCCTCATGTCAGTTCAGCTGAGTTCATTAATCGAGCCCACACACACACACACACACGCACGCACGCACGCACGCACGCACGCACGCACACACACACACACACACACACACAGGAGCGTCGGTGTGTTTGCATAGCAGAGTGTGAACACAGGCAGAACTTAAGATTTAAACCCTGAAAGCTTCACAGCGCTGCAAAGTTCAACCTCTATGATGACTTTTAGCACGCCATCTCTTCAGAGTTCATAAATCAGTGCAGATCCAACTCGTTCACACAGAAACACACCTGGAGCTGTTTTTACAAAGTTCATGTTACACTTCCATTACACCCTGACTTCAGATCAGAGAGTGTTTGGCAGTGAGTCTGAAGTCTGGATCAGCTGGTAAAAAAACGTGCAGGGTCCTCTCGGTGTAACATCAAACCAGAAGAGATGCTTGATGGATGAACTCCCCCCCCCCCCCCCTCTCCCTTCAAGGCATTAAGGTATTTCACTGTTCCCACATTCAGACGTCAGACTTTGCTGTCCTGGGGGGCGGAGCCCTCTGTGATGCAGTCCTCCTCCACCCGGGCCCTCAGGTGCTCCTGACAGTGTTGGAGGAAGGAGTCGAGGGTGGAGAATCCCTGCTGACAGGGCACACAGTGGTACAGTCTCTGTCTCTTTGAGCCCGGCCTCTTACTCGTGTCCATGTCGTGTGTGCACACGCTGCAGCACCGCCTCCTCACAGACGATTGGTGCAGCTCCACGTGCTCCCTGAGCTGAGACTGAGCGGAGAACACCTCGGCACAGGACGGGCAGGGGAACTCCCTCTCCTCCTCTTCACCCTCCACCACCTCCTCCTCCTTCCCTTCAGGCACTTCTTTCTGCTTCTCCGCCTCCGTCACATGTCTCCGCCCTCGCCGCAGCTTCCTGGGCCGCCCCGGTCCGGCCTTCACAGTCTTGTTCCCTGCCGAGCTGGACTTGACTGTGTTTGTTCTGTTTTCTGGATCCTTAGCGTCTGTCTGGAGTTTGTCTCTGATGGAGGAGTAGCTCAGGTCTGAGTGATGTTTGTAGTGCGCTCTGAGGGACAGGTGATGGACGAAGACTTTCCCACACACCTGACACGGGTACGCTCCGGCTCTCCTGCGCTTCACGCTGACCGGTCTGGGCTCTCTGCTGACCACCTTCTCTCGGCTGTGCTTCTCCTTCCTGTGCAGGTACAGCTTGGAGGTGCTCCTGAACACCATGTCACATGACCGACAGCTCAGGAGCTTATTTTTGGATTCTGACCTTTTCATTGGAGCTCCAATCACCCTGACGTCTCCTCCGCCCGCTCCTCCTTCTTTGGTCTGCAGACGTTCCTCTACGTGGCTCGTCTGTTTGTGGCGTTCAAGTGCCGTTTCTGTGCGGAAGCTTCTGGAGCAGATTTCACACTCGCTCAGCGCTCTGCTGCTCGGCCCCGCGGTGTCAGATGAGTCAGAGGGGGCGGAGTCTGCGTCTGAAACAGGTGGAGAATCATCAGGGAGGCTGCACACATCCATCACACCAGATGTTGAGGGAGGCTCACTGCAGCCGGCCTGCTGGTGGTGCAGCAGAGCTTGTTTCTGGCTGAAGCCCCGCCCACATGGGGCACATGCGTAGGGGCTGCCGTCCAGGAGGCGCGGCGAGTTGTCCTGCAGTTTGATGGGGTCTGAGGTCCTGGTTGTACACGCGGGGCAGGGAGAGCCAAGCCGTGAGTCTGAGAGCTGACAGGTGTGCTCACATCTGTGCAGCTGTAAGGAGGAGCGCAGCGAGAACTCGTGACCACAGGACGCGCAGCGGTGAGGTTTGGGTAACGTGTGCTTCGCCTCCTGATGGTGCAACAGATCTGCTGCATGAAGGAAGTCCTGATCACACTCCTGACAGACGTAGGAGGTCAGGTGGGGCGTTTGTGGACACTGGCTTCGTTGCTGCTTAGTGTCGGCCCGCGCGATGAAGTTGGCGAGCCGCGACAGAGTGTCCGTGGTCGTCTTGGAGCGGCTGAACGACTCCGGGGGCCGTGTGGTGCTCCAGCTGACTCCATCCATCTTCTCTCACCAACCTGCTGCAGGACAGAGAACCAGTTACAGGCGTTAAACCATTGGACCCTAAACGAGGTCAAAGTTTCAGATCATGAGGTAAACGTGTGTTGGAGTAGTCCCAGTATGAGCCCACAGAGGGCGGCTAAACGCCTTCTTCTGTAAATCACGCCATAGTTCCCCGATGTGAAACCAAGAACTTCACCAGATGGCTTCAAGCCTCTACGTAAGCCGCCCTCCCCTGGCAGCCCTGCAGCATTTGGTGGTGACGATAGTGATTATATGGACCACACTCACCTACACCTTAGTCTCTGACATGTGTTTGATCGGACAGGTGTGAAGGAGAGGAGTGAGCCAGCAGGAAACTAAAATAATAAGTGAGTTTCTGTCTGTGTTGCTGTGAGCTAGAAACATCAGTTTAGTTTGATTTTTAATAAAATAATATCAAAGTTTTAAACTGCGATGACATCAGACAGTTAAAGACCCGGATGACTGTGTTTAATGTTCTCTTATTGTGTGACGTCATGAATCAGCAGCTTCCTGATTGTAAACAGTTTATCACCAGCTGTTTGAGTTCTGACAGAAAAAGAGGAAGTTAGCTTCTCTTTTTAAACATCTAACGATCATTCATTATCAGATTATCTTGATTTCATGTTGACAGGTGAACTCTGATTAAAAACACCTGAGCACTCAGAGCTCCTCACAGTTAACTGTCAAAGCTAACTAGCAGCAGATTATCGACTTTACTGCGCGGCTAACGGCTAGCTCCATGTTCGCTAACGTTAGCTCGATGCTAGCTGAGCTAACATGTAGAAAGGACGCAGATTTGAACGGAACACCTGCGAGTGGCTCTCAGACGGAGCAGGTGTGACGGGTTTCTGTCTCACCTGTTGGATTCAGACGGTGTGTCGCGCTGTAGCTCGGTGTCGAGAACACAGTCCTGTGTAGCATGGCTGCAAAGTTGAAGTTTGTGAGGAGACTTCTCTGAGCTGTCTACGCCACTTCCGGCTCGTCACGCCACGCCCACATAAAACACGGTAACTATTTACTTTATTTTAAAAATCAAATAAACAATAATACAAAAGAGCGAAAAACAAATTAAACATTAAAAATACAACTTTGACACAGACATGAATATAGATCATAATAATGAAAACATAATGTAAAACAATTAGTAAATATAATAAATATATATATCTATCTCTCCAAATCTCTGTAGTACGGAGACCCGGAAGTACCAAATTAAAACATAAATATCTTGTATCACAATATTTGCACCTAAGAAACATGCAGAGGCTTTTTAGGTCAGGTACAATCACTTCTATCTGAACCACTTCTCTTGCCCGCTTCCATCGCTGCAACACCTGTTGACCTGATAACTGCTCTCATATCTGGCAAACAGAGGGGCGTCCAAAACGGCCGTGTGGGGGGGTCATCTTAAAAGCGCTTACCTTCTCTGGTCCAAACAAATCCAGAGCATTCAGGACCAGAATCTAAAGTTAGAAGGAGGACATAGTGGCTGCTGCATTGTTGTCAGAGAAGCCAGCACTTCAACATAGCATGTTTCCTTAATGTCTGATCAGATAGTAAGATACCTTTATCATTTCACTCACTACACATCTCACTGATTGGACCTTTAAGTTACACACACAGAGTCGGACATGAAGAGGATCAATCGTTTAATATAAACAAAACGTTCATATACAGCAGGAACTGTAATCATTTCAAACTCTTCATTGGGCTAGCGACACTCTAAAACAGGTTTGGCGTATTATTGTTAGAACAGCATGAACACATCAACACACACACCTGAAGGTTGGAGACACAATCAGCTGGCTCACCTGAATGAAGAAACCCAGTTTAAGGCTATAAAGGCGAGAAAAGGGAAACACAGAAACATTCAACAAGCTGCAGACAAACAGCAGAAACAGAAACAGGGTTTGATTTCTGACTTGTTTCTGGATCCACTTTGTTTGATTCTACGACGCTGAAAGCAGGAATGTAGCTCGCTTTGAGTCCTGATTTAAAATCCTAGAAATAAAAAGTCATGTCTGAGAAATCAGCGTGCCGAAGCTGACGATTGTCATACTTTACAAAACACCCGCGGTGTCACGTCCTTCACAGATCGCCATGACGACAACACTCCATGTTTGTTCTTCAAACACTCATGGAGGCTGAGAGGAGCGTTTAAAACATCTTTTCTAATTTCACTTTTTCTAAAAGTTCAGATTCACTTTAGTGAGTTCTACCATCAGATTAAAAATCATCTGAGAGACGAAGTGAGAAGCTACATGAACCAGCAGGTCTCCAGAGATCCAATCAGATCACTTCCTGTGAGGAAACACTGACTGCCCCCGTTCAACCCTCATTCAAAAAGCGCCAGGACGCTGAGGTCATCACTAATTCTTTGTGGGGTGGCCTAGTGGTTATGTTGTGCAGCCCATGTACGGACGCTATAGTCCTGATCACAGCGGCTGTGGGTTCAAATCTGACCTCTGCCCTCTGCTGCATGTTTCTTTGTGTTCTTAATGTTTGAAGAGGAATTTGTAATGACTTGGAGTTTTACAAAAAAAGACTGATTGAACGTTGTGAGGACGCCAAAAGAGACAAGCCTGAACATCGGGCCGGACAACGCCATAGCCTGACGTGAATGCCTGAAACAATCAGACGTACACACCAGATACTTTAAGTCTCAGTGTTTGAACACAGCGTCATGGCGTTTAGAGGATCAGACTGAAGGAGGCGTGTTCGCTGATTGTACGGAGCACATCATGATAAATAAAAAAAATATAAAACAGAAAACAGCTTTACAGTGTGACACTAAAGAACCCGTTAGACCTTCAAATGTTCCCTCATCAACCCTTTCAAAATAAAATACAGAGTGGAAAATAAACAGATGATGTCAAACATTCAGCATCTTCTTCTGAACACTCATCAGAAGAAGTGTAACAGTCTGTTAAGTCTCATAGTCTCTCAGCGTGTGCACCATGAACGCACCATCAGCGTGGCGTTCACTGAACAGAGGAGCTGCGGTGAGCCTCCATCGGGTCTGCCCTCCGTTTGAAATGATAACGTGTGTTTGTGGCGTCCAGCTTTTATCTCTTGTAGTGGCTCGGAGCGTCGGCAAACATGTACTTCAGTCTGTATGCTTCAGCCAGCAGCAGACCCACCTCCTCGTTACCCCAGTGGATTGTGGGTAGGTTCTGCAGGAGCATAAGAAGACCCTGAAGACAAACACACAGAGTTGATATCAGACGGCGTTAAGGAGGGACGGCGTTTACAGAGTGAGGGTCAGGAGGAGAGGAGAGGAGAGGAGAGGAGAGGAAGTGACCTGACACCTCTAGAGGAACCAGACCAGACCACTTGAACCGGATCCCGCCCCAGAAGCCCCTGCAGACTGAGCTTCTGCCCCCCCTAAAATAGTTCCCCGACCTGGAATCCAATCTGTGCGGCGGCGGGGAGAGCGCCGAATCCTCACTACTAGACCCGGGGAGAGTTACCCCCCCCCCCGCGCCGTTGGCTCTGTGGTTAAGTGTTGATGAATATCGAGACATCGCTACCTGAAAGTCGATCATGGACAGGATTTCTTTCCGCCACTCGATGAGGAAAGCTGCGCAGACGTAGAGGTGGAAGTGAGAGAAACCTTCAGCTTCAGCCTGACGAGAAACAGAACAAGAGAAGAAGAAATCAAAGACAATCAGAGCGGCCTGACACGCTTACATCTGCACAGAGGAGAGGACGCCTTGATGCTTGCAGCTAACGC